GGATTCCTGCCATGGAGCTTTGTTGCATGTCATATCACTAATTAAAAATAGATAAGTAAATCAACATAAACAACCACAAACAGTGTCCCATCATTATGTAGTCCTGGCTGAAAGTAGGCTACTTGATCAAATCATAATTGATTTTACTACTTCCTTTCCATATACACACTTTATGTTTGGAGCCAGATTGTATACTATATTGATACCAACTCACATAACCTCACAAATAAAACATAGAGAACTAGAGAAAGGCATGACATGATATACATATATTAAAAGGTCATTTTAATACCCAGTTTTTACGGTGGCTTATTCAGCGTTACCATTGTTTCTTGAGAGAAGGGTTACGATTCGATTTTGATGAAAGTTCTATATTTTACTTTATTAACCTCTATGATTTTCTTATTGTCAATAAATCCAATGAAAAGGCAAACATAATAGTGTGTTTTACGTTGTTTTTGATCTCTTTGAAGGATTTGCCACACATTTTACATTGATATAATTTTGTCGAGGCAGAAATGGTGGTGGATGGACGTGGATAATACAGAAATAGGGTAAATATGGCTTTTTTAATAATTGGGAACTGGCCCTTTAAGCTCATTCAGATCTGCAATCAACAGACAACAGATCTGTGTAGTCACTAAATAAATACAAAAGCACCATAAACCTAATTGTTTCTTTTGGACCATCTATGTATTGTTGTGGTGCTGGCTCCTAATAGAGTGTGTTGGGGGAGGGGGCCGCGGCCACCAAGACAGCTGCTGCTCACTGGTTGGTTATTCAGACCATTAAGAAAGAAAGATTTATAGGAGGCCACATTATGTCTTTATGTTTGTTAGGTTTCCTTTGCTCTACTTAAGCTCTGTGGTGAGTACGGTCTACAGTATGACTGCTAGAGCTCAATTTTAACGAATAAAAAAAAATAACAAGGTTTCTGCCCCCGAGACAAAGAAATATAACAGAAAGCAGTGCAATTACCTGGAAAAACAAAGGCCAATCATTTCACATTCATATGAGAATGTGTGTGTTTATCTGCAGCTGGCAGGCTCTTGCATGATGGAGTCCAACAGGGACATGGGTGCATTTGGACCAGAGATGTGGGGGGTGATGATTCATCATGACGCATCCGGATAGATTCAGCCGTTTGACCACGGCGATGACACATGTGGCCGCAAACTCTCTCTGCGCGAGGTGGATCCTAAGAGCACGCTCAGCTGGGGAAATATTTGTTCACCTATCATGTTTCAGGACCACCGCCACGGGTCGGTTACTGCTGGCACTGAGTCAATCATCATCATCATCATAAGAATCATCATCACAAACATCATGGCTACCATTAAGCCTTCAGGTGATATCATTCAAAGCCTCCAACATTTATTATTGCCAGGATATGCCCTTCCCTTTATTGCAATAAACAAATTCCCCAAGGGGAGGTTATAGAATAGAATTTCATCTCCTCTCAAAATGAGTTTTTATTTTTGACTGCCTGCTGTATATCCCACTGGAAGATGATCTCAAGCTTAAATTGGTTTGTAAGTATTTATCTTTGAAGCTTCTGATGGTAAACACCACACTTATGATGATGGTGATGAAGCACAATGATTTTCTCTTCTATGAGTCACAATTCCTGCACTGTCCCCCACGGCTGCAGTCAGACATGCCTCTCAGCAACGGCTAGCCTATTAAAGCCCGTTGGAAATGACTGGAAAGGAAACAAATGCAAGAAAAAGTCCCTGTTCTTGTGTGTTTTGTCTCAACCAACATTTGAAATATGTGAGTGTGAATGTGTGCTTGCTCCTGAGGCCTTTTTTCACCTACAAGCCGATTCCACAACAAATAATTACACAATATTAGCACCATAACCTCAGCTAATTCAGTTTGGACGTGACATTCAGTTGCTTGAATCATTGCACACATTCTAATATTTCTTTCTCAAAATCGGCAGATCAAAGTGCTAACATTTGGCAGTAAGCATGACGTATTTAATTCCCTTATGCATTATTGTAACTAGCAATTTAGTGCACAGTTTGGTGACCAGCAAATCCAATTCATAGTGTGGCAGTTTTCCACCGATCTACTGGGTTTTCGAGCGTCCAAATTTGATCAAAGAACCACAGAATAATCTAGGAAGTTTGGTTTTGTCAGGTTTCATATGTCTTTTGAAAAAGAGGCCACAAATGATCAAATTGAAAAGCTTTTACTTTGTAGTTGAGTCAAGACTTTGTAGTGACGGTCTGATTCCCTGTAATAAACTCATTTGTGCCCATGAGAGAAACAGCTATGCCTGGATTTGTGATATTTCAGTTTCTATCCGACCTGAATTGAGATGAGGAAGCATGAGGCATCCATCCTGATTTTAAATTACGAGAAAGAAACTCTAGCCCACAGTGTCTTAGCAGAGTGAGACTCTCCATGGCTCCTTAGTTGGGAAATGAACTGCACAACACTGGCAGCTTGTCTCTTTGAGTGTGTTGTGTCTCCATAATGGAAAGTGTTTACAATTTTGCAAAGAACTCAGCAGGACAGTCAAATGAGATTAGAAACCATTTATTTTACACATGCTTGTTAGTGAAGGGGGTGGAAAATATGTCAGATAAAATCACAGTGTGGATTTCTAAGGGAAGAGTTAGCGCTGACCTCATGTTTGAATGATTCACATATTCCATTGAATGCAGTATGTTTCCGATAGTTTTGGTCATGAAAAAGGGATGAGATGTCTTCATGTTGTCCTCTGTGTGTTTGTTGCTGTCTGGTTTAACTCCCAGGAGCAGCTGCTGCCATGTGGTTCTTTCCAGCCAGAGTATTACTCATCTCTTTCATTCCGTGTTGAGAATGTCAAGGCTGAGCGCTGATTACAGCCTGACCCTAATCATATTTGGAAAAGCTATTCGGCACCAATATAAGGGCCGAAAAAAGATGGTGCAACACAATTTCAGATAGATACAATTATTTATTCTTCGTTAACTGCTAACATATGAACTCAGAGGAGCGGCTACATGAGAAAAGCTGGTCCAGCTTAAAAGCCAGCCCACCTTAGCCAGAGCCATTGCTGTTATCCGATGAAGTGTACATTATATGTGTTGTATCGATTTCAGTCTGATTTCAAAATTCATTTCCATAACCCAACATTGCCGATTTCTATTTGTATTCCATATTCTATTCCATTGCAATGTAAATACTTTTATATTTATATTTTACTATATTTTTTATTATTTTTTATATTGTTTCTAGTTCTCTATCTGTGTTTTAATTGTTGTTTTACCTTTATGTATGCACCACGACACCTAGTCAAATTCCTCAAAAGTGTAAACCTGGTAATAAACCTGTATCTGATTCTGATTCTGATCCTGATTCTGAACATAAGATCGTCAGTGTAATACAGTGCCTAAGTGTAGGAATACAGAAGTACTTTGGTGGAGAAAATGTAGTGCCAATGCGCTGGGCTTTTGTTTTAGGTGGCTAATAAATATTTTGCTGCTGTGCTGTTACTCCTGTTTGTTTCTCCAAACTCACTGCTCCCAGTTTGTGTTTGGGAGGCAGACACTCTCGCCACATTTCTGAGCAGACCTAATTCTTTCCCTTTTTGACAAAGCTTATAGTTAGGGCTGGCTCAGGCTTGCCTTCAACCAGCCCTAAGTTAAGCTGCTGGAGGCTTGGGTTGCGGTCGAATAGTCCAAAGATCAGCTCCTAAATTCTAACCCTATCGTTTATCCCTTGACCTCTGAGTGAAACGTCACGGGGTTAAGGTATAGTGGATAGGAGAATTCAAAAGGATTTAGGAGAAGAGACTGCGGTACTTTAGAGAATCCGACTGCACTTTCACTATCCAACGTGTTTATGATGCGCCAGCGGACGTCATAAATGTGCGCCTGCTGCTGTGGGGAAACTATGGAAACTACAGTTTTCTATACAGCGGACTACAACATGGATGTTTAATAAGAACGAGGGACTACTGTAAACTCATCTAGAGACTCTGCACCGTGCTCTGATGCTGTTGTTTTATGCTTTATGAACGGGGACAACAGAGAAACATATTCTTCATGACCAAAGTTGGAATTGAAATAAAAAAGGAAAGTGAAACTTATGCTCGTCACCCTCTCCCTCCGGTCCACATTAATACAAATGATCCCAATACGTATGATTGTATGAAAAGATCTTAAAAGCAATACAAATGTATTTATTATAAACGTTAGTCCTTAACATCTATCACTGTGTATATCACCATTCAAACATCTTTTAAAAGTTGAACAAACCCCACACAGCTCAGTAAAGACTGAAATGTTGACTTTATTTGATCATTTCAGTAAAAACTAACGTTCATCCCTGCTGAAAAAACCAGCTTAGACCAACAAGGCTGGTCTGGCTGGTCAGGCTGGTAAACCAGCCTGACCAACCAGTCAATATTAGGCTGGATTAGTTTGCTGGTTGAGAGGGGTTTTGGACACTTTAGCTGGTCAGGATAGCTGGTTTGGTCACAGTGGTCTAGCTGGTCACCATTAGCTGGTCGGGATAGCTGGTTTAGCTGGTAAAAGCTGGTGGTCACAGTGGTCTAGCTGGTCAGGATAGCTGGTTTGGTCACAGTGGTCTAGCTGGTCACCATTAGCTGGTCGGGATAGCTGGTCTAGCTGGTAAAAGCTGGTGGTCACAGTGGTCTAGTAGCTGGTCACCATTAGCTGGTCGGGATAGCTGGTTTAGCTGGTAAAAGCTGGTGGTCACAGTGGTCTAGCTGGTCACCATTAGCTGGTCAGGATAGCTGGTAAAAGCTGGTGGTCACAGTGGTCTAGCTGGTCACCATTAGCTGGTCCGACTGGTATGATCTTGAGTAGAACTTTAACTGGGATTACTTGATGGTTAAGCTGGTCATATATGATGATGAAACACTCTCACCCAATTGCAGTAGCTCAATGAACATCTATCATTTCAGATCAGAGCACCTACCTTACCAGAAAGGTACCAGAATGTATAGAATGTCTGTAAATAAATACTCATACATCAAATGATTAGAAGCAGGAAAATAATTTATAACACACAATGAACATTAACACACATTTGAAAACATTTTCAAAACACCCATTACTTCATATCTTTAAGCAATTTCCTTCAACTGTTTCTTTCCGTTTTTCACAAGGTCCTGTATTTTTTGTGAAATGTAGTAACCGGCCAACTTCTCCTTCTCGGTCTTCTCCACGTTTTGTGAATTCAGCCATCCTCTGAAGCACTCTTGAAAAGAGAAAGGAAAAACAGATTACATTTTAGCTTTGTGTTATGATTACTTAAATATGTGCACTGTGAGATGAAAAAAAAAAATGTATCAAGTTTAGTTTTGAACATTCACTGTGATTGGGTCTATTGTCCACGCAATACACCGTATTTAATTTTTTATTTAATATTCTGTTCTTGTAAATATCATATTCTATTATATTACATGTATATAAACTTTTTGCACTACTTTTTATTTTGTATTTTTGTATTTTATTGTATATGTTGCATTGTTGGAGGAGCTCAGGTCAGAAGAATTGCATTGACATTTCTACACTGTAGCTGCTGAGCATATGAGAATAAAAGCTTTGAATCTTGAATCCAACACTTTTTTCAGGGGAAAATCCTGAATTGTAGGATACTTTGGCCATAATAATGCTTTATGATTACATTTCTAGTGAGAAGTGTATATTTTACTTTCAGAATCTTCCTCCAGTGGATGTGCACCTGCGTAACACATGGTGCCTCTTGTCTGAACAATTTTTTAAGCGATTTGTAATCTATTCTTGTCGACTTGCAGCCTAAATACAAAGATAACTCCACTCTCCTACCACTGCTTACCTCTAATGAGCCTTGGTAGAACTAGTGTCCGAGTCATGGGGTCCAGAATGGACTGAAGACATGTGGAACAGAGTCATAGGGTCCAGAACTGACTGAAGACATGTGGAACAGAGTCATAGGGTCCAGAACGGACTGAAGAGATGTGGAACAGAGGACAGGCATGGTTCCATGTACAGGGAACTTTTTGAACCTTTCTGCAGCGATGAATAAAGAAAACAAAGAAGACATTTTTAATAATAGTAATGATGGTAACAACAATTATATTAGTATAACTATTTATATAGCACTTACACAATTGCAAAGTGATTCTCACAACAAAAATAAAGAACAAAACAATATCAACAATAAAAAAACAAATGATTATAGGAATGTTAAGAGACAAAGAAATGATAAACATTCTGAGAGGCCGACTACAAAAGCTAGACTCAATGGCTCTTGATGACATCAATGAGCAGTCCCAATAGATGCTGTGGTATAAAAAGAAATAGAATAGGTCCAGATTTCTTCTATTTTGTGTTGGATGATTTGTTTTATTGATTGCTGATGGATGTATATATATAGGGTTTATTCAACAGCAGTAAAGCATTAAGTTGCTAAATTAACATACACTGAACTGTTAAACAACTTACCACTATTTAGGAAAGGCTCTGATCAGGAGGGTTGACTAGTAGGACAGCAAAGAGGTGGTGTCATGTACAACCATTGGTAGATGTTACACCTGAAAGAAAGATAAGGAAATAAGAGAAGACAGGAGGACAAACATCCTCTTAAGTAAAAGACCAAATCAAGTCAAGCTTTAACCTGAGCCTGTTTTTTCAGTCTTTACAATGCACTGTTGGAAAATACCTTCCAAAGGCTACATTCAAACTCAATACCATAAATAACTGGGTACCAAAGTGCTTTACCTGATAGAACACGTTCCACACGGAGCAGCAACCATCCGGCTCCGCCTTTTGCTGCATATCATCTCCTCCCTCTCCACTGTTTCCAGTAGATCTCTACTATCCAATAAAACTGAAATTCCCCAAAAAATCATATTAAAAAAAAGTTAAAAACAATAACTTGCTTTTGGCATTGAAATAGATTAGATTAGATTAGAATCTCACCTTTTTCCTGGATGTCAGGAAGGCGTTCCCTTCAAGTCCGCAACCAGTCATAGGGGTTCAAATGCAAAGCCTGAACGATGACAAGAGCGAGATTTACATTTTACAATTATATTTTTAATTCATACCAGAGCAGTGTGTACGACATGCAAAGAACAGACAGACTCACACACTTTGGTGATGTCCTTATCTGATAATGTTTCATCTTTTAGCAGCAAAGTAACATTACTCAAAGTATATGTATGTTTTGCATCTCCTCAACAATGGTCTGTATCATTGAGTAGAAAAAAACTGTCCCCACAATTTCAGGTAGATTAACACACATTTGTAAGAAAAGTTTACAATGAAGCACAAAAACCCTCTTTGTATTAAGCTAGCTGCCACAGAAAGTACAGCTTAACATGCTAACCTTTGGTGGAGAGCTACAGTTAGCTAACTTCATGTTCAACACAACACCTCTAATGGCATTACATTGACGATTTTAAACAAAACGTAACCCTCTCAACTTGTAAGATAACGTTAAGTTAACTTACAACTTATAGCTGCATCACGTTTTTCAGGGGAAACACAAACTGCAGGAAACGTTAGCTGCTAACTATTGTTAGCTAAGACAGCTAGCCTCCTAGCAAACGTAAGGTTAAGTTAACATTAACGTAACGTTGTAAGAAAGCAAAACGAACCTTCGAGAAAGCTTTTACTCTCAGACTTGGTGAAATTGTGTAGTGTTGCTTACCTCCAGAAGGACTTTTAGCGCGTTTCCCAGTAGACAGAGCTGTCAGAGCGGTGCCTCTCAGAAGAGCAGCCGCTGGGCGGAGTCACAGAAACGTTCAACTGATCTTCACTCCTCGACCGTTAGTGCCAGTCAAAACATACCGCTTTGTTTCAACCACTGCCGTGTCGCCGTTCCCCCGTGTCCCGCCCTCTCTGTCTGTCTGTGTCTATTTCAGTTTTGCTAGCAAGACTGCTGATAGACCAGCTTCACCAGCTTCACCAGCATAGACCAGCTAAAACCAGCATAGACCAGCATGACATCCATGCTGGGCTATGCTGGTTTAGCTGACCAGGCTGGTCTTGAACCAGCAAGAACAGCCTGGCCAGCTTGTCCAGCCTGGTAAACCAACTAAACCAGCCTAACACCAGCCTAACACCAGCCTAACACCAGCTAACACCAGCTAACACCAGCTAACACCAGCTAACACCAGCTAACACCAGCTAACACCAGCTAACACCAGCTAACACCAGCTAACACCAGCTAACACCAGCAACCATCTTAAGCTGGTCTATGCTGGTTTTTTCAGCAGGGATATTTCTCTTTTTGATTATAATACTGATGAACGTTCAAAACAAAGCACTTTGGCAACTTACCACATACGTTTTAAAATGCTTAATAAGCACCGTAACTTTCATGATATAATTTCTCGTTCATAATCGGTTGTTTCCGTGAACGGCCGAATGTTGTGTGACGGCAAATGCCGCGGCCGCAAGGCATTGTGGGGCAGCATTTTCTCCTCTCCTTTCGGTTAGGGAGGTCCAGTGGTTCCTAAGCTAAAGGAGGTTATAAAGGAAGTTTGAAACCTCCTTTCCTTTCATTTAGAGAATTCGAACGGCACTTATCATGGCTGCCACTGAGGGACTTCCGGGTCATTTCACTCCGTTAGGAAGGTTCCTAAGCTAAATGGACTATTCGACCGCAACCCTGGACTGTCGCAGGACTTTTTACCTTTCATCTTTCACCTAGGTTACATCAACTGGCATAGCACCCACAAATCCCTAATCTAACTGTTGGCGTTCAAGTTGCATTGTTTGTAATATAGCCTTGACTATGAAGACTTCTGCCATGGCATACAAAATACAATCTCTCTTGTTCTGCTTATTTTTTCTGTATCAATTTCGATTGTTTTAATGAAGCTGTCCAATGTGAGTCTAACAATGTTATATGGGAGCAATGCAAAATCAATGGAGCACTCATTTAACCAAAAGTTATTTTGTTGGCTCAACCTAAACAAATGTGAGACTCAGTCATGCACAACATGCACCCCCACCCTATCTCTATGACTTTATCACAGTACAAATATATATCAGGTTCTACAGGAATATGCTTAGCATGTGTTAATGAACATACAGCAATTATATTTCTTCTCAAATATATGTAGCAAAACGAATTATGTAGGTTTTGTTTTTCCATGCAATTTGTTAAACATACTATAACTAACAGGATGCTTTTTAAGTGTTTTAACATGAGTTATTTAATTTTCTCAACCCTATTGGTTTCATTTGATCCAAAAATCCACAAAGCCAGGGTTTAGAAGTTTTCACTTTATGACATTTTCAGCTCGAGTGGAAGACGCATGACGTTAGCAACTCATCATTTTTTCAAGTGTGGTTTGATATGGACTAACATCATGTAAATAAATAATGCTAAATCCCCCTATGGCTTGATATAGAGCAGGCTAAATTTACCTCCATCAGTGACAGTTTTTCTTTGACTGCAAGAGGTTTCTCCTTCTTCAGATGACAGAAGCTGATCTGTGTCCTGAGCCCAGATCAAAAGGGGAAACATTATTATAAGTGTTAATCTGCTGTAATCTCTTGAACATATGTTACTCAACAGTCAGAGGGAGACATCAGCACCTGGCTCCACAGAGAACAGTGCTGCCTCAGCATTTCAACAAACAGGGACTTTCGATCGAAGCTGCCACACTTCATCGTCTTTGTCATTCCTCTCTGCTCTTTTTCACATCAGTGGATGAATGGAAAAATTGAAAGTTTCTGTTGCAATACTCAATAGAATGAATAAACCGCGTCACACGTCGAGTAAACTGAGCTCAAAGAGTCATCGGAGGGGAAACTGGAGAGTTTTTTTCCCCCTTGAAATACACTTTTGATTTATGAGGGCCTGCTTGTGTTTGTAGCTGCTTCTTATGGAAAAGCTTTTTTTCTGGAAGAGGTTCTGTCTCTGGAGAAAGCCAATAGAGCACGATCCTGGACAGGATGCTATACATCAGTGTGCTAGGCAGGGTCACCCCCCATTTTCCCATAGCAGTACACATATGACAGTTTCACATACATGTATATCTCCTTAAGGGTGCAACACAATATAATGTAACAACAGGACATTTACAAATAATGCATGCATGCAGGCTGAAAGAAAAACACAGGTTCAAAGACAACTGGTGGATTCATGTATTAGATTTTCAGTCATTTCTTTAAACATTTTCTAGCAATTCTTCAACTTTTTTCTTTGGATTCTGCTTTTCCAAACGTTGGACAAAACAACAATATTAAAGGCATTGCCTCGTAAATTGCGAAACACTTTCTTTGAAAGATTTCATTATGCAACATTAATCAAGAAAATAATTGGCAGATTTATTGAAAGTAAAACATAATCCTTAGATACAGCCCGAGATGACAGAATATTAACAAACAGTTCAAATTGATTACTAGTTTATATTCAAGATGTAAACCTAATTTTCATCATTTGCTCAGCTAAATGTCAACAAGGGAATTGGAATTCTTAGAATATGAACTTTATCAAACACAAATGCTAACTATGTGTTGGTTATACCACCTCAAATGTGAGTTGTAAATTAGATATCTTTGGGGTTGAAACATTTGAAGAATTCGAGAAGAAACCGTGAGGGACATTACGATTGTATGACTTTTTTTGCACTAAATAATAAATCGCATAGTTGCAATATTAATCGCAAGAGCAAGTAAGTGCATCCTCTTTCAATGTCTCGTACACACCTTCACCCCTACTGTATACATCTTCAGCTTTTATTGTGCTTTATAATGAAGAAGTGAAGAGGCTTTGTTAAAGCATTGCACAGAAACCCAAGGCCCCCCACTCAATAATGTATCTATACAGACTAATGCATTTTACTAGCTTTAGAACCTCAGTGAATAGACACACTCTAATTGTCAGCGTTTAAGCCTTGAAGATCACTCTCTTTAA